ACCGGGCCCTAATTAACGCTTTTGTGGGCGGGGTTTCACAGCCAGGTGGGTGTGGCTGGGTGGGCGTGGCCATGATGGGCGTGGCCGGTGGGCGTGGCCGCTCACCTGTCGGAATTTGGGGTGGGCGGAGTCTCGCAGCAGCAGCAGCAGGAGGCTCTCGCAGGTGCTCAGGTAGGCGCCGGCCTGGCGCATGCGGGCCAGGGCGAGGGCGCGCTCCACCTGGCTGGGACCCCTCCCCAAATTACACCTGGGACCCCCAAACCCCGCCCCCAGAGCCCGCTCCACCTGGCTGGGACCCCTCCCTAAATTTACCTCACCTGGCTGGGACCCCTCCCCAAATTAATTACAGCTGGCTGGGACCCCTCCCCAGATTCACCTCACCTGGCTGGGACCCCTCCCCAAATTACACCTGGGACCCCCAAACCCCGCCCCCAGAGCCCGCTCCACCTGGCTGGGACCCCTCCCCAAATTTACCTCACCTGGCTGGGACCCCTCCCCAAATTTACCTGGGACCCCCAAACCCCGCCCCCAGAACCCGCTCCACCTGGCTGGGACCCCTCCCCAAATTACACCTGGGACCCCCAAACCCTTCCCCCACAGCCCGCTCCACCTGGCTGGGACCCCTCCCCAAATTTACCTCACCTGGCCGGGACCCCTCCCCAAATTACACCTGAGACTCCCAAATCACCCCTGGGACCCCTCCCCAAATCATCCCTGGGACCATTCCCCAAACACACCCGAGACCCCCCAAAATCCCCCCCAAATCCCCCCCAAATCCTCCCGACCCCCCGGCACCCCCGAGGGCCGCGGGGCTCCCCGAAAACCCCAAAACGGGCGGAATTGGCCCCAAACCTGCGCGAGGAGACGGCGTCGGCCGCCACGTGCACCTCCAGCCCCCGCGCCAGCAGCTCCAGCGCCGTTTGCTGCCAAAACCCAAATTTGGGGGGGAATTTGGGGCTCTGGGGGGGGTGTTTGGGGAATTTGGGGGTCCCCAAAAAATCGCGGGTTGAAAATTTGGGGGATTCCTACCCAAAACTTCTCCAGGAGTCTCCAAATCCTCCCCAAATCACCCCCAAAATTTGGGGTTTTTTGCCCGAAATCCCATCTAGAACCACCCAAACTCCCCAATTTTGGGGTTCCCTCCCCAAAATCCCATCTAGGACCCCCCAGACTCCCCAATATTTGGGTTCACTCCCCAGAAGCTGTAAAACTCCCCGATTTTGGGGTTCACTCCCAAAAACCCCATCCAGGACCCCCCAAAACTCCCCAATTTTGGGGAGTTCCCTCCCTAAACCCCCTGGGTTTTTAGGGTTCTCTCCCCACAACTCTCCCTAAACTCCTGGATTTTGGTTTTCCCTCCCCAAAACCCCCAGGTTATTTGGGGTTTCCCCCCAAACTCCCCCAAACTCCGCGATTTCAGGGTTCCCTCCCCAAACCAAACTCCCCGGTTTTGGGGTTCCCTCCCCAAACCAAACTCCCCGATTTCAGGGTTCCCTCCCCACCCCAAACTCCCCGATTTCGGGGTTCCCTCCCCAAACCAAACTCCCCAATTTTGGGCTCCCTCGTCAAACCACCCCCAAACTCCCAATTCCGGGGTTCCCCCAAACCAAACTCCCCGATTCTGGGGTTCCCCCCCAAACTCCCCCAAACTCCCCGATTCTGGGGTTCCCCCCCAAACTCCCCAAAACTCCCCGATCTTGGGGTTCCCCCCCAGACTCTTCGATTCGGGCTCCCCCAAACCAACCCCGGGTTTTGGGGCGCTCACCAGCACGCAGGCGTGCGCCTCGATGCCGCAGAGCAGCACCGAGCGGATTTTGGGGTCCCCCAGGAGGGGCGCGGCCGCCCCGGCCATGCTGAAGGCGCTTTTGGGCACCCGGGGCAGGTCCTGCGCCCCCAATTCCGGCACCGTGCGCCCCAAAACCTCCGGGCGCTGCTCCGTCACCAGCGCCGGCACGCCCAGGATGCGGCAGCCCTGCGGAGAATGGGGGGATCTGGGGGCATTTGGGGATTTTTGGGGATTTTTTTGGATTTTTTTCAGATTTTTTGGGGATTTTTTTCAGATTTTTTGGGGGATTTTCTGGGGGTTTTTTTGTGATTTTTTTGGGGGGTTTTTCTGTGATTTTTTTTTGGTCATTTTTTTTTGGGGTGATTCTTTTTTTAATTTGGGTGATTTTTTTTTTGTGGGTTTTTTTGTGTTTTTTCTGTGATTTTTTTAAGGGTTTTTGCGTGACTTTTTGGGGATTTTTGGATGATTTTTTTGGGGATTTTTTTGTGAATTTTTTGGGTGATTTTTTTGGGGGATTTTTGTGCAATTTTTTTGTGATTTTTTTTTTGGAGGTTTTTGGGGTATTTTGAGATGTTTTGGAGGTTTTTTTTGGGATGGGTTTTGAGGTATTTTGGGGTGATCTTGGGGATGGTTTTTCAAGTATTTTGGGGGTGGTTTTGGAGTTGTTTTTGGGGTATTTGGGGGTATTTTGGGGTGTTTTTGGAGTTGTTTTGGGGGTTGTTTTTGGGATATTTTGGGGTGGTTTTGGGGTTGTTTCTGGGATTTTTTTCAGGGTTTTTCGGGGGTGTTTTCGGGGTATTTTGGGATGGTTTTGGGGTGCTTTTTGGCGTTGTTTTTGGGATATTTTTAGGTGTTTTTAGAGTTGTTTTTGGGGTTGTTTTTGTGGTCCTTTTTGGGTTTTTTTTGGGGTGTTTTTGGGGTATTTTAGGCTGGTTTTGGGGTTGTTTCTGGGGTTATTTTTGGAGTATTTTGGGATGGTTTTGGGGTGCTTTTTGGCGTTGTTTTTGGGATATTTTGGCGTTGTTTTTGGGGTATTTTGGGATGGTTTAGGGGGTATTTTGGGGTGTTTTTTTGGTTATTTTGGGCCGTTTTTAGGGTGTTTTGGGGTCCCCACCTGCAGCAGGCGCGCGGCCACGGCCACGATCTGCGGGAAGGCGGCGACGGAGCCGCGGAATCGCTCCTGGAGGTCGCAGACGAGCAGGGCCGAGGAGCCGGGCAGCGGCCAGCCCGGGCGGGCGGCGGCCATGGCGCACCTGGGCAC